TGATCAATAATCTAACTCTTCCTGAGTCTGATATCTCCAATACCTCGATCAGCAAAAAAATATGCAAAAGTGTAGTATGAGTACACCACGGTCGGTACGTAGTAAGTATCAAGACTAACATCAGTGAAGTAATGACGAGGTACAACTAAAGACACCTACTAGTCAAATTAACAGGTGCAGTATAGAAGTATAAAGCTAATAATAAAAGCAGGAATCAGTAAATGGCAACAAGGATTAACATGTGATATAAACAGCAAAGTAATAAGAACACCGTGAAAGTACCATTGAAACCAAATAAGGGAAAACCAATAACAACCAATTAATCAAGCCGTTCTAACACAAGTTTCGCAACGAAAATTTCTCCGAGATACCTCATCTCATAATCACCAGTCATGAGTCTCAACCCACAAATCATATGCTCATGGCACCCAGTGCCCATATTTCTAGTCACAATCGCACGGACAACTCATGTGCCAACATCTCAATCCGCTCGGCATAATCACAGGCTCACAATCACAATCCGCCCGACGTGGTCACAGGCTCACTATCATAATCCGGCCGGCATGGTCACATGCTCAATATCACATGAACACAGATAATACAAGAATACATGGGCATGATCAATAAATATTACGTTGCGTACTCCTGAACTAGTATAAGTGGCATGCTACGGTGTTTGCTTGTGCGAGTGTACTATTACAGCTCAAGTCAACAAGTAATATCAAAGACATCGAATAACTCATTAAAAGCAACACAACAAGTCACATAAGGTGTATAACATACACGAACAGAATCACACAAACATACGAATATCGTCAATATAATACCTCCAGGCCATCACACATCATCCCTGACATTGCCTCCATTATCTCTCCGATAGCCACCCGTATCATTTTGCCTTGACAATATCATTAGTCACATATATTACTCTGATAGCCACCCGTATCACTCCGCATAATAGCCACCCTTATCGCTCCGCCCGAACAATAACACAACAGCCACCCGTATCACTCTGCAAAATCGACAACAGTGGGATGCCACCCTAATGCCCCGCATAACGACAACAATGAAATATCAACCTTAAGCTCCGCATAACAACAACCAATCCACACAACAATTTACATGCGCTAACATCACGACAACACGACATATCAACTCGTACCTCAAGTGCCCATAAGCCACAAGCTTTCCAAAAGAACCAACATTATCAGTATTTCCACAACAAATAGCTCATGGCTCAACACAATGTGTATAGCATCCCAATAAAAACAAAAAGAACGGGAAAGTAACTCAACAATGAACAACACCCCCTTTAAACATAACTTCAATTAAAGTAGATTAATGAGTCTCAGTAACTTCAACTTCAATTAATTGCTTAAGGATAAACTCGATAATGAAGGTATTCCCACGAAATGGCAAGCTTCGGATCCTAATGTATGAAATAGGCTAACAATAAAAGAGATGACACGAACTAGCAACTACATCTAAATGCATGAGAATAACTCGACAACAAAAGGATATCATGTAACAACAATTTCAATTAAGAGTAACTCAACAAGAAAGGAAGTCACATAATGATAAAAGAGGTAACAACTTCAAATAAAGCATGTGAAAAGTAAACATGACAAATAAAAGGATATAACATGCACTAACAATTTCAAATAAATACATGAAAGAAGCTTAAGAGTTTAAACCAGTCAATTTCAAATCATATGCTCATGGCACCCGGTTCCTACATTTCTAGGCACAACCGCACGGACAACTCACATGCCAACATCTCAATCCGCTCTCATGTTCACAGGCTCACAATCACAATTCACCCAACGTGGTCATAGGCTCACTATCACAATCCGGTCGGCATGGTCATAGGCTTAATATCACATGAACGCAGACAATACAAGAATATGTGGGCATGATCAATAAATATTACGTTGCGTACTCCTGAACTACTATAAGTATCATGCTACGGTGTTTGCTTGTGCAAGTGTATTTTTACAGCTCAAGTCAACAAGTAATATCAAAGACATCAAGTAGCTTGTTGGAAGCAACACAACAAGTCACATAAGGTGTGTAACATACACGAGTAGAATCACACTAACACACGAATATCGCCAATATAATACCCCCCAGGCCATCACACATCATCCCTGACATTGCCTCTATCTCTCAGATAGCCACCCGTATCATTTTGCCCTGACAATATCATTAGTCATATGTATCACTCCGATAGCCACCCGTATCACTCCGCATAATAGCCACCCTTATCGCTCCGTCCGAACAATAACACAACAGCCACCCGTATCACTCCGCATAATCGACAACAGTGGGATGCCACCCTTATGCCCCACATAACAACAACAATAAAATATCACCCTTATGCTCCGCATAACAACAACCAATCACACAACAATTTACATGTGCTAACATCACGACAACACGACATATCAACTCGTACCACAAGTGCCTATAAGCCACAACCTTTCCAAAAGAACCAACAGTATCATTATTTCCACAACAAATAGCTCATGGCTCAATACAATGTGTACAGAATCTCAATAACAACAAAAAGAACGGGAAAGTAACTCAACAATGAATAAAAACCCCTTTAAACATAACTTCAATTAGAGTAGATTAATGACTCTTAGTAACTTCAACTTCAATTAATTGCTTAAGGATAAACTCGATAATGAAGGTTTTCCCACGAAATGGCAAACTTCGGATCCTAGTGTATGAAATAGGCTAACAATAAAAGAGATGACACAAACTAGCAACTACATCTAAATGCATGAGAATAACTCGGCAACAAAAGGATATCATGTAACAACAATTTCAATTAAGAGTAACTCAACAAGAAAGGAAGTCACATAATGATAAAAGAGGTAACAACTTCAAATAAAGCATGTGAAAAGTAAACATGACAAATAAAAGGATATAACATGCGCTAACAATTTCAAATAAATACATGAAAGAAGCTTAAGAGTCTAAATCGGTCAATTTTCATATATAAGCCTAAGTACACACTCGTCACTCGCGTATACGACTTTCACATAACATAAATAGCATAAACAACTCCAATCCTAAGAGGTAGTTACCCCACACAAAGATAGGCAAGATACTTACCTCAAAGAAGCTAAACCGATACTCTAAAATGACCTTCTCGTGTAAAACAACCTCTGGACGGCTCAAATCTTGCCAAAATAACTTAATATCACAAATAAAAACCATAGAAAACAATTCCGGGTAATAAAGTTTCGATCTTAATTGAAAACTAAAAGGTCAACCCAAAAAGTCAACCCTGGGCCCGTACCTCGGAACCCTATAAACCTCACAAATTCGGATAACCCATTCAATTATGAGTCCAACCATACTAATTTCATCCAATTCTAACTCCGAATTGATGTTCAAAACCCAGTTATTCTCTTTACAAAAGTTTTTGATAAAACCCCATGTTCTTCAATCAAAACATGGATTAATTCACAAATTAACTACTAGAATCATGTTAAAATACAAAAATTGAGATTAGATACTGACCCCCAAGAAAATACGAGAAGAACTCCACCAAAATCACCTCAATCGAAGCTCTAGAACTCAAGATATGCTCAAAATATCAAAAGAACACGGTCTGATTTTTTATATATAGGCATTTCCGCTTTTGCGCCCAAAAAGCCGCACCTTCGCATTTTCCGCTGTCATTTCTACTTTTGCAGGGTCATTTTTTGCACCTATGGATCGTAGATGCGGGCCCAACTTCGCATCTGCGAAGCACCAGTACCAACTCTCTTCTCCGATACTAAAATGAGCATAACTCCCTCATATGATGTCCAAATTCGACGATTCTTTTTTTTATGGCTTTGTAATTACGATGCAGATCTAATGCTTCAATAAAAACAGAAATTGGAGCTCATTTTCTTAATGTGGTACCATTTATACTTGAAGAAACGATGCCTAAACATAAAAAACGAGCGCAACACAACCCAAACCTATCTGAAACTCACCCGAGCCCCTCGGTACCCCGTCTGAACATACCAATATGTCCCAACATATTACGAACCTACTCGAAGCCTTAAATCCCACATAACAATATCAAAATCATGAATTATCGATCAATATCAATCTCTTAAGTTCATAAACTTCAAACTTCGAACCAAGCGTCTGATTCAAGCCTAACCAATCCAAAATGAACCCAAATTTTGCATACAAACTCGCGGTCAAACCTATGAACTTTCTAAACCTTCAAAATTACCAACTTTCGCCAAATAGTGCCGAAACTTCTAGAAACATTCAAATGCAAATCCGGGCATATGCCCAAGTCCAAAATCATCATACAAAACTATTGGAATCATCAAAATACCATTCTGGAGCCGTCTATACAAAAATCAAATTCCAGTCAACTCTTACCACTTAAGCTTCTAAAACAAGAATCATTCTTCCAAATCAATCCCGAATCATCCGAAAATCGAACTCCGCCGCACACGCAAGTCATGATACACAATACGAAGCTGCTCGAGACCTTAAGCCACCAAACAGAATGCAAATTTTCAAAATGATCGGTTGTGTCGTTACGAGCTGCTTCTTGAAAAGCCTCGCAGTTACTTCATTTCTTCTATAAATAGAAGAGATCTCAGTTTATTATATACATCAGTTTAAAATTGAATAATATATTAGTCTCTCTCTATACTTGTCTTTGGTTTATTTGCTTTGCAGTCTTATTTTATAACCGAAGATGAGCCTTGGCATAACTGGTAAAGTTGCTGACATGTGATCAGGAGGTGACGGATTCGAGCTGTGAAAACAGCCTCTTGCAGAAATGCAGGGTAAGATTGCGTACGATAGACCCTTGTGGTCCGACCTTTCTCCGGACTCCGCTTATAGTAAGAGTTTAGTACACGTGACTGCCTTTTCTTTAGTGTTATTTTATAAGAGTGCCTAATTTTAAGGGGCTGTCAAAAAGAAAGAGGTGTAATATTACATGACACGCCCAAACCTCAAAGGAGGGGTTAAATTGATATTATCCTTTTAGACTGTAAATTTTGGGTACCAACCAGTACCTCGAGCAAATAGAATAGACACACACTCAAGAGTCAAAGTGAAGGCGATGGAGTGGACAAGCAAAGTCGGGGAGGCAGTGAACAAGGCGGTAAACAGCAACAAAGTGTTAAACGTAGTGCTATTGGGTGCATTTGGGTTTCTCTGCCTGAGATCCGTGCAGCAACAGAGGAACATCCAAGTTCTGGAGACAGAAAAGGACTCTTTACTCAATTCTAATAAAGCTATGAAGAAGGCCATGTGGGATTGGAAGCAGCAGCTTTTCGCCGAAGCTGATGTACCCAACCCCATTCTTCCCCTCTCCAAGCTTAAATCCATCTACGGAGAAGTCCAAACCGCCTCAACTTCTTCTGGTATTATGCCTTCTCTCTTTTAAATGAATCATATTAACAAAAATAGAGGGATTAGGATGGTTACTGTAATGATTGTGTGTAAGCACTTCCAATTGTAGGAGCCAGGAAATTTTAGATATTAGAATGCTTTGCGTCGGGGATTTGAAAACAAATTTTGAACTTCCTTTCCCACTTCATTGGATTTTTCTCTTATCTCTATGCGATTCAACAGTTTATATATAACTAAAAAAATTCATTTTTTGCCCTATTTATGGAGATTAATTTTTCAACGAAGGGGATTCTTCAACCCTTTTCCTCAACCTAGCTCCACTGCATTGTTTGTGCCCTAGTTTTATCGTTTCCAAGCGTCCAACAGATTATTAGAATTTCTATACTCAATATAGTTTGATGCAAGTATTCATTTGGTCATTAGGAGTGGCAAACGTGTGGGTCGGGTCGGGTCGGATATGGTTCGGGTCAAAATGGATAATGAAAAATGGATAAATTATCCGACCCAACCCATATTTAATAAATACAAAAAAAGGACCCAGTATTCTGGGGAGGGTAATATGTACGTACACCTTACCCCTACAAGAGGCTGTTTTATCATCAATAGACTCATAATAAAATAACAGCAATATAAGAAATACGAAATACGAAAAAGATGGATGGTATAGTAATAACCAGCAGCTAAAGCCCTGCATTAGTAGATGACCAGTAGCATCCTAAGACTAACCCCTAACTGGCTAGTCTCACTCTAGTGTGCTGTAAAAATATTCACAACTTCCCCTAACCTACAACCTTAATGCTCCACCTCCACAATTCCATGTCAAGGGCCATGTCCTCAGAAATCCTAAGTCGCGCCATGTCTTGCCTGATCACGTCTCCCCAATACTTCTTAGGTCGCCGTCTACCTCTCCTCTTGCCCATACCCATATTTAATACGGATAAAAAATAGGTTAAACGGCGGATAATATGGGTAACTATATTATCCATTATTTTTTGCATATGATCACTTTTGGGAGAATTCTTAGTCTCCCTAACTTGAGGAACCTCCAATTTGAGGTTTTACAAATATAAAAGTTAGACTCATTGGTTATCTGGATAATATGGTTGTTATCCATATTTGACCCGTTTTTAAAAAAGTTCATTATCCAACTCATTTTTTAGTGGATAATATGGGTGGTTAACTGTTTTCTTTTAACCATTTTGCCACCCTTAGTCATTATATTCATCTAAATGGTTATGTCAGCACTTAGATGTATAGCAAGATTTTGACTTGGGGTAGTTACTGAAAGCACTATCATTTCCCTTCTCGATGGATAATGACTAGAAATTTATCAGCACTAGTGCTCTCTTAAAGAGTGAAACTCTCCTAGTATAGCCTTGTCTTATGAATTGAAGTCAATGGCTTTAGAATTCTTAGTTTAAGGGCAACCTCAGCTTGATTAAGCCTTGCTTGCTTTCTAGAAATGTAATTACTTGAATCTGTATAGGTGAACAGCTGGAGAAAGAAGTGTTCACCGAGCGCCGTAGCCCCTGTTGATTTATCATAGTGTAGTCCTTAACTAGAGTCCTCATTGAACACTGGATGGGCAAGCATTGCCGACAAAATATGGAGATTCATTGAGAACAGTCTAAATGCCCTTGAAAAGTTATCTCCTAAAAGCTATGCTGATGCTATGAATTGGCTCAAAGGTCCAAAACCAGTCTTTTAAAGAAGAAAAGCTCTCCTAAAGGTGGCGAACAGGCCCGTGACCTTTTTTTGCCTCAAATATACCCCCTTCAAGTCATTTCTTTTTCCTCTCGAGCTCCTTTTGTACCGGCTGATGCTAAACAACTACACCTGCCATATTTGTGAGTGGGATCTTATATTATTGTTAAGAGTTATATGAGAGATGTGTATATCAGTTAACTGTCTGGTGCAATCTCAAGGGTGTATATGGAGTAGAGCTCTGATTGACTTCGGAAACCTCACTACTTAGAGTAGGAGTTCATCTGCAGGATCTTGTGTAACTTCCCAGCATTAACTTAATGATGCCATTCATTAATGAAATTCACTTTTTTACTGATATGTTTATAGACAAGTTCTTAACTTTAATGAATGAATTTGGCAACGAACCAAAATCGAGTTTAAAATGAAAATCCTTTCTCTATTTCCTGTCCAAGAATAGGGAAGAGTGAATTCAGTATCTTCATACGAATTTAGGCTGGATTCCTTATCCATAGTGAGTTGTGGGTCAATTTTCATCAATTTTACCGTAGATGCGAAATACTTATTACGTGTGATCCTTGAATATCTAAAATCGTCTGAATGGAAATAACTTATTTCTCAATGAGCATCTTGTGGGCTGCCTATATCACACCAGGTGCAGCCCTTTTCCGACCCCTCCGCGAACGCAAGATGCTTTGTGCACCTGGCTGTCCTTTTTTTTCAATGAGCTCTTGTATTTCGTAAACAAATGAAGGCAATATGAATACCCCCCCCCCCCCCACACACACACGCACGTAAGTGCTGTGGAATGGATGCATTTCTTTTAATTGCTTTTTTGTTGCAAACATGCAGGTGGAGATGCTCAAAAAGGAGATAGAAAATCAGCTGCATCAGCGTTTGTTGTCTAAAAGCCATTGGTATAGCTCGTTTATGAAGAAACAAGTTTGCTGGCAAAATAACAATGGGCTGCTTAGATCTGTGAAATATCACGCTTCAGTTAGTATAATGGAAGCTGATCACAAAGGGGGAATGTGGTGTAATACTGAGTTTTTGTTTCATCCTGTTTCTAAGAACTTCGTGATTTACGACTGTTTTTCCTTATTCTCTAACGTGCAGTTTGTAAGGAGGCTGAGGTCCAAGTTTAGTTTATAGTATTATTGGTGATGCTTCATTTTTCTGCTCCATTTTCTTTTTCTTGGGACCGTGCCATGACCTAAATTTCTGATAATTGAGTTTCATTATAGATCAGCTATTGATTTAACTGTCAAGTTGAAAATTCTGGCAAAATTGCTTTGGACCAACGTAGAAAGGGTCTGGATTCCTCTTCATATAATTCTTTTTTCTGGCAAGAAAAAAAAAACGTATGGGGATATTCCTGAAATGATAACCTTATCCCAAGATTTACTTTGCCACAGCATTGATAGATATGACGATGGGAAAGAATGCAAAATATTAATACAGAGTGTAAAATTTAAAAGCTTGTATATAAAACTATACATATTTATGCATTGTTTGTTTACCTCAAATAGTTTTTAGCAGTTGTGACTGAGGCTTAAAGTGCTGTTGAATCTGTTTGATTTGCCTGAAATCTACATTCTTCTGGCAGATTTTAGCTGGCTTGGACAGCTTACAAGGGGTTGTGAAGAATTTTTTTGATCAACAGCTCGCTTGATAAATGTTGTGAGAAATAGTTTAGTTTCTATGTTCCCTTTGTTTTAATGGAACTACCTTTCTGGGTTTGGTTGAACAGGATATCAAAAACCAATTTAATGAACTTTGCACATGTGTCAGGCGGTAATGGAATCAGAGTATATTTCTGTTGATTTTAGGTTACAACTTTATAGTTTGTTAATCGTGATGTATGCATTACCTTCAATGGTATTAAAGCCTAGCTTCGCTCATTATTCTCTTCTGTTCTAATTGAATGAATAAAAATTCCTGGTGTTTCCTCTCAATCTTGACTTGTGTTGACCTATTTTAATGACACAAAATATTACTCCTATGAACAGTCAAATTATGTGATCTTAATGGTAATATTCTGTTGTCCTGTGTCTTGCAAAATAAACTTTAGTTATTTAACAAACTTGATTGGGTATCTGGTGTAGAGTCAATAGACTCGGGGAAACCATTTTCTTTTTCCTTTTGTACCAGGGAAGAACTTAGTTCAATGTTTTGGCTGGTTATAGCCACTAAGTTTGCTGACTAAATTAAAATACTATGATAAGTCTAAAATTAGCACAGTTAGAGGTGTGACTGCATTTTTTCTCACCAGTAGTCTGAGGTACGTGTTTTAATTCAGCAAACATATCGAACACGTACTACATTATTGCCACAATCCAAAAGCTTATTCAGTGCTTCTTGCATTTCAGCATAATAATAGGGGAAATTTTCGTTCCTATACCATATAGGAATTTATATTACCAAATATGTTCATAGTTTACATATTACCCTTCATGCTAATAGTATTTCTACAAAATATAGACAATTCATTAAATAAGGAATCATTGTAGCTGTAGGCTTCCTTATTTAGGCGCACTAAAATTGGGGGATTAAATATTCTTCCAGATCTTCCACAACGCAAATCACGCACATTAATCTTCTTCTTCAGTTTCGTTTCAAATTTAGCGTCTCTGCTTTTTCGATACACTGTGTTTCAAACTTTTTTCTGATTTCACAAATCAAAAACGACTAAATATTCTACAATTCTTCTACATCAAATGCAACTATGTCCAAATTTCAGTAATACAAAGCAAAGAAAAATAGAGCAGCAATTCCACCATTGACAGCCATTAAAAAGCTTTGAAGCTTTGAATTCAAATTTGGGTTTTCAAAAATCATTATTTATTTGGATTGGGTGTTGTTGCAAATAATTGGGAATATGGTTTGGAGTTTATATCTCAATTTTGAGGGATTTTGGTGAAGATTAGACTTGGTTTTGGCTGAATTGCGGATTGAAACTCGAAGAAGAAGAAGAAGAAGAAGACATGACACACATTATATTATAGAAATTGTAGATAAATTGTAGAAATATTATATTCTGTTGTTTATTTATTTTTCTTTTATTCATTTAACTATTGTATGAAAGTTGAACAACATTGTATAAAAATTATATTTAAGTGGTATTATATTGTAGTTGTATATAACTTAGTAGAAATAGTGTACGAAAATTGTAGATAATTTGTAGATAAGTTGTATAATATATAATTAGTTGTATGAAAATTATTTTTACTATGTATAAATCAGATACAAAATATACAAAAGACATATTGTATAAAATTTGTATGTAAGTTTTATGTTATTGTAGTTGTATTTCACTGGGTGGAAATAATGTGTGAAAATTGTAGAAAATTGTAGATAAGTTGTATTCCTTTATAACGGGAGATGTTGGCATATCAAGTAACTTTAGTGTTCCAGACGAACATGCATGAAAATAAAGATAAATTCTGTTATGAACAGTTTGTAGAAATTTTGTAGATAATTTGTAGAAACATTGAAATTCTGTATTTTCATATTAATTTTTCAAATGATATGCAGTTTTATTGTAGAATAAATGTAGAAAACAAGCCATTATGAGTCTTATTTGACTCATTCCTCACATTCAACCTATTCTACAAATTTATGCCTCTTTAAATACAATACAACCATACTTTCTTGAATTTAAAGGTATAGTAATGTATATAACTTAAAAAACATCTTCTCCTCTGCACAAGTTAGCTCCAAAACAGACGAAGTGGAATAACAAGCTCCCATCAAAACTTTTAACACAAAAACACAAAGCTCAAATTTTATGTTATTGTAGTTATATTTAACTGGGTGAAAATAATGTGTGAAAGTTTTAGAAAATTGTAGATAAGTTGTATTCCTCTATAACGGGAGATGTTGGCATATCAAGTAACTTTAGTGTTCCAGACGAACATGTATGAAAATAAAGATAAATTCTGTTATGAACAGTTTGTAGAACTTTTGTAGATAATTTGTAGAAACATTGAAATTCGGTATTTTCATATTAATTTTTCAGATGATATATAGTTTTGTTGTAGATTAAATGTAGAAAACAAGCCATTGTGAGTCTTATTTGACTCATTCCTCACATTCAACCTATTCTACAAATTCACGCCTCTTTAAATACAATACAACAATACTTTCTTGAATTTAAAGGTATAGCAATATATATAACTTAAAAAACATCTTTTCTTCTGCACAAGTTAGCTCCAAAACAGACGAAGTGGAATAACAAACTCCCATCAAAACTTTTAACACAAAAACATAAAGCTCAAAAATAAATAAACAACAGTCTACAATTTTTCTACAATTTATCTACGATTTCTGCAATATATGTATGTCATGTCGTCTTCTTCTTCTTCTTCTTCGAGTTTCAATCTGAAATTCAGCCTTAACCAAGTCTAAACTTCACCAAAACTCCTCAAAATTGAGATATAAACTCCAAACCATATTCCCAATTATTTACAACAACACCCAATCCAAATAAATAATGATTTGAAAACTCAAATTTGCATTCAAAGCTTCAAAGCTTTTTAATGGCTGTCAATGGTGGAATTGCTGCTCTCTTTTCCTTTCCTCTTATATTACTGAAATTTGGGACTGCGAGTGATGATAGGCTATAATTACGTATTTTAGTCGCTTATTACACTCTAATTTACTGCACTTTAGTTGAGTTTGCGCTATAATCGCTAGTGTTTTGCACTAATTGTGTGTTTTATGCCTTGTAGGTGTGATTTCGAGCTATATAGATGCTATGGAATGAATTTAAGTGATTTGAAGCTTTGAAGTCTGAGTAAAAGCTCAAGGAATTAAGCCGGGATCGTGTTCGGGGGTCAAATTTGATAGTTGAGAACAAACGAAGACTCGAGTAGGCATATTGCGCACTGTCTAGTAAAATGCACATAACTTTTGCTCAGAACTCCATTTGGGCTCCACAATATATGGTTGGAAAGCTAACACAAAGGGCTACAACTTTCATGTTTTACGTTTTTCCAAATTCCAAATGGAACGGGGTGAAAAATGCGGTCGAAACCGCAACCGCGGAACTGACCGCGGCAGAAAATCAGAGAGCTTGTCTGGCCGCGGCCGCGCCGCTCCAGGCGTCAAAAAGAAGTCCTATTTCATCCGGGACAAGGTTATTTCGGCCCTACACTATTCCAACTTGTATAAAAGGGGTCCTAAACCTATTTTGAAGGGAGGGGGACATACTTTTGACATAATTGAGACCTAAGGAGGCTAAGGAGACTGGAGATTCGACCTAAGGAGTCAAGAACACAATAGGAGCAAGGCGCGAAATTCTTCAACGAGTTTTTCCTTCTTCTTCCTATTTTTTTCATTGTTGGTTATGATTTTTAGTATTGTAGTTTTACATACTATTATGAATAGCTAATTCGTTTTCTAGGGTTTTGATGGAACCTTTTGGGGATGAAATGGTTGTTATATTAATATAGTTTTGATTTAGTTGTTAATCTCTATTTGTTCAACTACGTTTTGATTTTGGTTAATTGAATGGATCCTCAATTAGCCGTTCCTATTTAATATGTATCTGCTTGAGAGAGAGTGCATATTTAGGTAGTTGTTTGAACAACATCACTCCCGGAGTATAGGCGAGAGTCATAACCGAGGGTTTAGAGGTTGGATTAGAGATAACGATACCTGGGGTGCGATCTAAGTGAACTGTAATGTGAATCTAGCTAGCGTAGCTTGAGAGAGTGCGTCTAGTAAATTATCATAATTGCTTGAGAGAGATTTATGATAGCTGGAGAGTTCATGATTGATAGAGGCAACTAAGTCAAAGCTATAAGAAACATACAACTAATAAAATCAACAATTGGGGAAATCATAACTCTAGACCTCCTTAATTTAGTCTCCAAACCCTTTGTCTCTTTAGTTGATAATTTTATCGCTTTCTAGTATTTGCTAGTTAATTAGTTAGAAATAAAAATCTTAATATTATAATTTAGAAATTGTTCAAACTTGTCTTCTTTGCGATATTGAACAATTACAGCGAAACCTTAGTTGTCTGTGGGATTCGACTCCGGACTTTTAGACAGGATTATATTTGCAGCGACCGCTTATCCTTTTTAGGACTAGAGTTTGGCGTGATCAATTTTTGGCGCCGTTGCCGCGGAACTAACGGTGTAGTTGTAGCTGTATATATTGCTAGGGTTCAAGTTTGAAC